ACTGAGATTTGCGAGCCATAAACGGACATCATGGCATCAAAAGAAATTAAGTAATATAATTTATGTGTTTGATCATTGCTTGAATTTGAACTGACACATAGTTTAAAACTGAGGCCTTTGGGAAATAATTGTTTTTACTTTGTAGAATGCATACTTGAATGAACTGGTCCCAATGCCAGTATTATAATCAATACTGGTAAATACTTGTATAAACAACTATTATTTAATGATTTTCTCATAGAAATGATAGATATTCAAGGAACTACTGGAGCATCTCATGGGAAAATCCTGTTTCCTTGACATTCAGACAATTTCAGTCACAACAGATGCAGGAGAGTTAGCAGAAGTTCTGTATTCTTTTAAAGAAGAGATTTTGTCATCTCAAATATAGAGCAGTAATTACAGAGATATTAACCATAACCAGGTCAGCGAATCTGCATTCTGACAAATAAACATTTAGAATGATCAGAGATCTTGGAACTCCATGTTATGTGAATGCAATATGTGTTCTATAAGGAATGACATAAAGCCTCTTTAAACGTGTTAGAGACATAAATAAAGTCAAGATAATAACCCTTACGGTGACATAGTACATTCTAATTTCATAACTCCTCTTTATCAGCTATTTATTATTTAGATATTAGTTTCTCACAGACCAGTAGTTAGATTGTGTTTGTTAAAAATATTACTGAAGAAACTAGTATTTTCTGTTTTGTGCAGCTGAGTTGTGAATACAAGACAATGGTTCTCAATGTTCCCATAATGGGTTACACTATTATTCCAGAAAATGACAATTTAATCTGCATTAGATTGAAGTAGACCGATAAGTAATCTTTATTTATATACCGCCTTTTCACTCCAGATCAGAGTCTCAAAGCGGTTTACAATTATTTTTGGGCATTAATCTCTCACTCTACGCAGAGATGGGAGCGTGGTCGCCAGTACAGGAGGCGCATGCCATACCTATTGTACATATTTTTAGTGGTAGGGGAAACCGGAGTACCCGGAGGAAACCTACGCAGACACGGGGAGAACATGCAAACTCCACTCAGAAAGGCCCTGGTCCAACCGGGATTCGAAGCCAGAACCTTCTTGCTGAGAGGCGAGAGTGCTATCCACTCTGCCACCGTGCCGCCCAAAGTATATACATCCAGTGAGACTGAACAGAAGGGTGGTTTGACCCCGTTCATTATTTAATAAAGAAATCAATAATAAAATCGACATGTACCGGTAGTGATGGAATGTCAAAGGGATGGAAGACTGGAAGTAATTCAAAATGCATTGGTATTGATGTTTGGCCTCACCTGATATTATTTATTAAACATGAATTATTTAAAATCAAAGGAAATATTGCTATCATATTTTCTATTTTTATTCTGGAGTTGTATGTGGACTTGAACAGTTTTCAAATTGCAACTTTTTGAAGGAGAAATGCAGTTGGATTGGATTTGGACAATTTTCACAAGATTAAGTGAGACTAGACATTCACAATAATGAAATTACAGGATGTTGAAAAAACTTGCAGTGAATACCCTTTAATATAACCTGTATACAGTATAGTTAAATTATTAGGACTGCAACCAACCTAATATTTTAAAGTAACCTGACATTAGATGAGTTGCATCATGAGATCTAGCCCCAATCCTTGTGTGCGTCACGCTACAAAAAAGAGCTGCATAAGAATGATGCCAAGTGTGATGTGAGGACAGTCTTTTGGGTGATTTTTGTTGTCTATTTATTGAATTTTAGAGTGAGTTAGGGTTAGAGTGAACAACAGATCTCAACATTGGTTGCAATTTTTTATCATTGTGCAATGATTATACCTTTTTTGTTTAAATTATCAAAGAAATGGAAAGGGGGGAAAGAGAGAGAGAGAGTTGGACCCAGTTAAATGCTGGTAGTGAATATAGTGAACAACAGGGGCGCTGTTTAGCCACTTCTCCGCTCGCCTTGGATTCACAGACAGTGAGAGACAGCAGACAGAGCCATGGAGAGGTGGAGAGCGGTCGGATTTCTTTGTTATTATTAAAGTGTCGCCTCTCGGAACTATGTCGCTATTCGCCGTGACTCGTGCGTATTCAAGCGTATGGCGCACCGCAACGCATCAAGGATATTTCCACGGGTGAAGTACTCTTTGCACTTTTCATGTGACAGCCAGCTCCGTGATTGGGATTGCAGTAGTCGGGAGATACACTGTAGCCTGTGTGTGTGCCATCGCTTTGGCTGTTTGTAAATGTGTTTCTTTTGAGCTGCCATGAGATTCCCTGCGTAATTCTGGACGTGGTTGGAGAGTGTGGCTGCTCCGCGCCGCGTCGGGTTTATAGCGGCGATGTTGATGGGTGCGATACAGTATGACAAAGTTGTGCACTTGTCGGTGGGCTGCTGAAGAGGCCCTGGCAATGGCTCTCTCTCTCTCTCTCTCTCTCTCTCTCTCTCTCTCCTCTCTCTCTGTGTGTGTGTGAGCGTTAATGTGTGCGCGCACGGAGTTTGTTTCCAGATCCCCTCCCCCATTCAGCGCCTCTGTTCTGTTCGGCTCGTTCTGCAAAAGGCCAAAACATGAATACGATGGGAGGACCGGGGCAAGCTCCCATCATAAAGCAGAGACATGATCAAGCCGCGACCTTCAATTATTTATTTATTCCGCGTTTTTTCTGTCTGCGAGCGGGTTTTTACAATCACGACCCTCGCCCGTATGCACCGTTATCTGTCAGGGTGCACACCTGTGACTATCAATGCTGGCATAAAGGCTAAACGAACGTCCCACCGGTGCCACAACCTGCCCCTGGACTGGTCTGATCCATAGTATATGGTCCACAAGCCGCATGGTGTGCCTATAGGAGGATGCATTTATTTCTCATGCACGTAAAGGTGAAGCATGGCGCCAAGACAGGGAATTCGAGCATCAGAATCAATTAAGTTATATCATTTTTCCTGGTAAATTAGAGCAATTTATCAAATGAAGGCCTAATAACTTATGTGGACTCTCCAATTATTTTTAGTAAGCATTTGCCAATATCTTAATTATTAACCTAGTAAAGGCAGTCACATTTTATTTATAATTTCACTGCAGATTCGTAGGCATAAACAATGTCAATGTATTTTCTATGTATTATGGGAGCGTACATTCTAACCGGAGATAGCCCCAGGTCATTCACTGCATTGAGAGATGGCACCAGAGGCTGATAGGAAGCTGTGCACACCACCGCTGTCCAATGTAATGAGAATGGGAAGTATTCTGGATGTAATCATGTGGCTTATCTCCCGGTAATGTTACAGCATCGCATAATTAGTTTCTGGGAATAGATTACAGATCTGGATAGATGCACCAACACCATGATGCAATATGTTCATGCTGAGATTGTTGTCTTGCGAGCAATTATATCCACATTATTGTGTTGTAATTGTGTCCCTAGGAGAAAATACACACATGTTCAAGCCAGGTCTGTCTTTGTCATGACTTAATTTTTGATGCTTCCATTGTAATTATCAGTACAACACACAAATTAAATAACACAATTTGTTGTCTGAAAGCTGTTTCACGAATGTTCGTAAATTAATGCCAATTGTTGGCATATTCAGCTCATATGTTACCTTCATATTGCTTATTTTTCTGCATTGGATAAGACATGCGTGGGTGTATGGTTTACCCTTGTGCTCATCTGATTGACAGGTGCTGCATTAATCCTATTTGTGAAAGATTGGTCGAGAAATTATATTAACAAATTGAATAATATGGAAATTAACTCTACAATGGTTTTCTCAGGTCAAAAAACATACATTTAGGCAATAAATTATGTTGTGACCGCCATGCTCGCTAGCCTTCCAGTTGTAATGAGAATTTCAGCTGCTTCATTTTGGTTTTCACATTGAGATTAGTGCGCTAATATATTTTCAGATACAGTAACCCACATGTTGGCAGAGAGAAAGAAATCTCTAGACGAGCACATTTGTCCTTGAACAAGACATCCAACCCTGAAAATCGAGGTTCTATCTTAGCTTACATACTAACTGTAATAGGAAGAGAGAAGTGGATCAATACAAAGGGCTCATTATATTAAAACATTGCAGACTTCATGGAATCACAAAATAAGTATAACCGAGAGTAATTCTATCAACTATATTCGTAGGCAATTGTCATAATTTCTATAACCTGAATATGTCCTCTTCAAAGAACACCATATTTTATCACCTCCCGTAAAACCTGTTTTTTTTGTAGTTAACTCAATGCAAAAAATAAAATAAAAAAAATACTGTAATTAATCAGACTTCTTTCATATTATATTGTTGATTTAATCCCTTTAGGATCCTGATGTTTTAAAGTATATTGGAATACTCAATTGTTAGTCATGTAATCTGGTCACATTTCATGAAGCATTAACATTGACAGCTCTGCAGCTCTGACTCCTGACCTGGATTACTCTAAAAGAAATCTGGGACATTGATGCAGAAATCAGGAGTGACGGCCTTATTACTAAATCAAGCAGCATTAAACATGAACAACCATTACATTATGACCTTTCCTACAGCCTTTATACATAATGTAGTGTTTCGATTGAGATGGAGGGATCTGACAGATGCTGACAGAGCGAGTCCGTATGTTCAGTCCATTTGGATTATTACATTAAAATCTGCCCTGTATATATTCATATTTCATAAGAATCTTTTGGTAGCGAGTCAGTGATTGCTCAGTTGGTTACAGTAGAGATGCACCTAGCCAGCTTTGACATTTCTGATACCAATCTCAACACTTTTAATTTCTGTCAATACCCAATAGTGAATTTAACTGATTTTGAGAGAACATTATCAAAATTTAAACTCTACAATCCATTAGTCATGTTATTGTGGTGACAGGAAAGCCATATATATTAATTATGATTTTTAATATAATTTTTACTTTCCTTTATTGCAGATGTCTTTTTGCTGTGGCCTAAGAGGCGGAGAGCATCAGATCTTTGTGCTGAGGTGGCGCCGTGGGGACGTGGGTTTTGGATGCTGTGACTATGAACATCACCGAATCGCGGGACTTCTCAGTGGACCTCGGAGGCAGCTTCACTGAGGACGCGCCCAGACCCCCCGTCCCAGGAGAGGAGGGGGAGCTGGTGTGGAGCGATGGCCGACAGCAAATCAACTCCGTTTACTCCTCCAAAAATGAGAGCCTTAAATGTGACGCCTCTGTGGCCACACCCCGCCGCCCAGACCTCGATTTGGGCTACGAACCGGAGGGCAGTGCCTCACCAACACCACCTTACCTGAAGTGGGCGGAGTCTCTGCACTCCTTGTTAGATGACGAAGATGGAATCAATCTGTTTCGAATGTTTCTGAGGCAAGAGGAGTGTGCAGACATGTTGGATTTCTGGTTCGCATGCAGTGGCTTCCGAAAACTTGAAACCAGCGAGGACTATGAAGAGAAGAAAGTCAAAACAGCAAAAGTAATTTATAAAAAATACATTTTAGACAACAATGGGATAGTTTCTAGACAGATTAAACCAGCTACTAAGTCCTTTATCAAAGACTGCGTCCTGAACCATCACATAGACCCTGCCATGTTTGACCAGGCCCAAACAGAGATCCAGGCAATGATTGAGGAAAACACATACCCCCTATTCCTTAAATCGGACATATACTTGGAGTACACACGAACCGGCGGAGAAAGCCCAAAGCCAACCAGTGACCAAAACACACTAATAGAGGTGATAGAGACGCCGCATGATTCCAGACTGCAGGGCGGAAAGCAGTGCAGGTAAATATTCTTTCACTCACACCTCTTCACAGCGTACGCCTGTGAACTGCTGAATTAGAAATGACCCAGAGAGCCCCCGACCAGCGTGAGTGAAAAGTTTGAAATGAAACGAGAGTGAATGCATGGCTCCGGAGACCGCTCTGATAAAAGACATGGGGTTGTGTGAAGCGCTTCTCTGTTTACTCCTGTGTTGTAGAGAGCAGCTTTACTTACTGTTTGAAGGTGGAGTTAAAGGGTTTTGTGCTGCAGGTTTTGTGCGAAGCGACTTTTATCTGGCAGAGGTTTGCAGAATAGGAATGTAACATGGGATACCTTTTGTGCAAGGAGCTACTTTTGTGTCTATTAGCCATGCTGACGTTCTGTAATCAACCTTATTTGAACTTGGGTGAATTGAATTGCTTGTACTGTTTATAATGGTTGGCAATAGCGGCAACATTGTATTGTACAAGGATTGTGAACAAAATAGTGGATTTCAACGGTAGTTCCATAGCTGCAGGTGTTGTGCTTTCTTCGCTTTGATTTTATTGGGTTAAGAAAGGATAGAGCGAAAGGGATTGATCCCACACAGCTGGAGAACTCCCTTGTAAAGGATTCTCACAAACAACACACACACTATACTGTACATTGAAAAAATAATTGGATTTATGGTTAAAAATGATAAATGAAAAATACATGATAAAAAGTGAGGATGTTCATCTATCTGTCTGAGCTGATCTAAACAAATACATAATTGTGAAAACTAGTGATAGAAGCAAACTGTTTTAAGAGCAAGGAACTAGTTTTATTATTTGCTATTACATTGTTTAGTTAAAGTTAGGTACCTCAGTTTTAAGTACAGTAAACATAAACTACAAACTGTAGTATCACTTCCCCATTATTACATTGTATATTTCTTCACCAATAGCTTATAGTTGCTTGAATTTCAAACACTCATATGCACAATATATGGTGCAGCTCCATAGTGGTCCTTCATCTGAGAGACCTAATTAGTCAGAAACGCTTTGAGCTTGGATCTCCATTTCAGTAATCAAGCATTTGGATTAGGTTACAGACAGCTTTCAATTTTAAAGCAAGATTTTTTTCCCCTTTGGGTTTTACTTTGACTGAAGCTGTGTTTTTGAACTATAGCGGCCTCTTTAGAGACAAACAAGAAAAGGATTGCGCTATTCTTTAGAGCAATGGTTCTCAAACATTTAGAAGTCCCATTGCGGTGTGTCAATTAGGCTTTTAAAGTGATTGTCTGCAGTTGTCAGAAAGAGAGAGAGAGGTACTTGATTTGAAAAAAATGACGCAAGCTCGCTCCCCCTTCCTTTCTGATTGGTCTATGCTTAAGTTTCCGTAACACTTTTAAATGTTAATGAGAGAACACATTATACTATACATTATTAATACACATGCACGGAGGTTTTCAAAATTATTTGTTGACGTTTTCATTAAAAAAATAATGTTTTAATGCACAAAAAAACTATCGAGGCAAACCCGGAAGTAGCTATTATCATTAATTGCACATTATATATCTGCAGAGGATCCGATTATGGATATAGGTTTAGTATATAAATGATTATGGATATAGGTTCAGTATATAAATGATTATGGATATAGGTTCAGTATATAAATGATTATGGATATAGGTTCAGTATATAAATGATTATGGATATAGGTTCAGTGTAAATGGGTAACTCAGCGCAGATGTTCAGAATTCTTTGTTCAGTTTTCATGTAGTTCCAGAGCCTATAAAGGCTTGATTCAAAAACAAAAAACTGAGCATGCGCGCAGCTACGAGCATTGACATTGATTGGCGATGATTGACAGCCCTGGGCATCACTTGATTGGTTAAACTGGACGGCATCGTGGATTCTGAGCTATAACAGAAGGGAAGGCGGGACTTACCCATAATATTAGAATTAATACAATGACTTATTTTATATCAACATTTAAGGCCAGGAGGTAAATTTAATACAATTCTTAAAATTTGTAATTCATTTAGAGTTACAGACATGACTTTAAGTGGAATACGGAGGACAAGACAAATATTTAAATGAAACAAAGACATTTTTATTGTTAGAGCGGTGCCAAAAATCCAAAGATCGCAATCTCCAGTTTGGTAGATCGTGATTATGGACACCTGAATGATATTTTGATAATCAACTTGGCCGATGGATAAATTGTTTAGATCCTGAAAGGTCAGTGAATATGGATTATTTTATACATTTAAAAGAAGAAGAAGCCCCTGGAGAACATCTTTATAGAGATTTGAGTGAATTTACTCATTTAATTTTGCAGTCACCTCTTCTCAGCAGGTTTAAATCTATGTAAGGTTAAATAGATCCAATGAATTAATTACTAAACTAGTTGACAACTATTTTAATAATTGATTTGATTTTTACATCCGTATTTGCTATAGAGAACAATAATGTGGCAGTAACAGGGACCAAAAGTTTCTCATTTTAATTATTAGACGAGAACCGTATACATTTTTATTGTGTGTCCTCGTCTAACACAAAAACAATACATAAACTAAGATTGGTCATTATGGGGAAAAAATTTGATTATACTTTGCTCCCAGATTTCCCTAAATCAGTCTAAATTGTAAACGATTTGAAATAAGGTTATTTGACTTATTTGGAAATAACTTCCTGGCTTGTTTCCCCCTTCATTAGCTGACAGGAGGGCAGAGCAGCAGTGACACTAAAGGCTCCCATAGTAAAGTCTTAAATTGTAGACGATGCAGTTATTGTGGCATTTTGTCTCCTTCAGCTTGCAGAGCGCTGTCATTTCCCTCTCGCTGCAGATTATTCACTGCTGTTGAATTTAGATGCTAATGAAAATGCGTCGGCCACAAAGGTTGAAGGATGAACTTGTGCTGCTTTTCTCTCTTTCCCCAAAGTGAAGAAACCATGTGATATTTTTGCTGCAGGGAATTCTAATTTGAATTAAAAAGTTGATGCCTTCGCTTGCATCTATAATTCATGTGGACAATGACTTGTAATATGTTGAGCCAAGTCTTTGAATGTGCTGTAAATGGTGTCAAGTGAAGCCTGCTGCCAACCGCTTGCCTCTCTTTGAAGGATGTTTAATGTTACAGTAGGACACTGTAGGAAAGCTTTCTATCAAAACTGCATCAGTAGCAACATTTGACTTTGATATTTTCAAAGGACTTTCTATTTTCGATCCATTCACTCATTTCAAAGCCAATGGTCAATACAGTTTTGAGCATAGACGACGGTTGATAATCGCGGATCAAAGGTGTCATTTCAGTGCTGCTTTGTTTAGTGTCAAACTGTGATGTGAATTTGTCTGAGCACATCCTGCATGTCCTCTGTCATAGGCCGCCCTCATGCCAGGACCCAGTGAACCTGTGCTATGCAAACGCTGGCCTTGCTCCCGCCACCAGCGCCAACGACAGCGAACAGCAAAGTCTGTCCAGCGACGCAGACACACTCTCGCTCACTGACAGCAGCCTGTGAGTATACCTATTCATCCCCCAAGTGCAAAACAAGAAAACGCATTGGGACTTAGTTTATTTATACAATGTTGAATCTATTGTGTGACTGAAGCAGATATGGACATGGTTTTGTTAGTCCTGTGTATGCAATAAGGTGAAAGTATTGAACACAGTATAACAGGTGCAGTGCATTCAAAATGCTGCAGCTCAAGTCTTGACTAGAACCAGAAACATTAGTCCTGGTCTCAGGTCTCTGCACTGGCTCCTGTGGCTCGAAGAAGTAACTGTAAAGCAGCTATTGCATCATATAGTACCATATGAACTAGTGCCATATGAACCAACACAGACTGGCCTCCTGCTGGGACCTTGGTTAAAAAAAACAGTTCTGTCTAGCTGCATGTGCTTTTTAATGAACTGTGAATATTTATTTGTTCATGATTTTAATGTTTTCTGTCTTTGTAAAGAAATGGTGTTTGTTGGATTAGCATGGGGGTAGGACCTGGAAGTTGCAAGTTGTAAAAAAATAAGATAAATGAATGTTATATTGTTGTATTATGTTTATTGATGATAACTGAGTGGTTTGGTTGGGGTGTTGGGTGAAGTTATTAACGGGGTACTTACCTTTAGCAGCCATTTAAAGCTGGGTGTGAGCCCAAAATCACTGTGTGTAAACATTTGATAAAGGTTATTTGGGCAGTTTGAGGTTCTCTTGGCATTGTGATTTTAATGTAATCACAATTTGATTGACATTTGTTTCATCCAACCAAAGTCTTTTATCATCTATAGGCCTTCTGTCAGGCTTTATAAACGTATGAGCACAGCTGTATTTTTGATTCACAAACCATTCACATCTAAATGTAACAAAAAATAGGGTTAGTTGCTCATTCCTATACGATTTTCTTATTCAGGATTTTGTTCTCACAGAGTGGGAACCAAATTGAATGATCAGAAATGATCATGTCAGTAAGAGTAATTCACCTCAATCTGTTTAAGATCTTACACAACTTTATGCTTGGCTTGTGAAATCATTTTGTTGCAGAAAAAGCACTGGGGAAGAGGGCCAGCACATTTTCATAAGCTTCACAACTGGACTGAAGTATGTTTTAGCGGTCGAATGGATTAGAGCCGGTTATCAGCTAATTAGTCCAGAGCTGCATGCAAAAGAGGACTGTGAAACTCTGCATGACCAGCACCACGAAATGAAAGCCTCAGCAATGAAGTAACATGTAATGGTGATTGTACTGGCCTCTTTGAGAGACAGAGACTTTGTCAATATCCGTCCAACCCTCTGTATTCCCCGGGGGTAGTGTGTGTCTGAAGTCTATCCAAGCTACTGGATACCAAACAAAACCCATTCACTCACAAGAGGCAATTAATACTCACCAGTTCACTTCAATTATGCATGTAGCTGAAGAAAACAGAAATAAATAGCTAGGGCCAACCAAATCAGCATCGAACTGGAAAAAATGAGAACCACTGTCTAAAGTTTCAGACTGATTATATTGAGAGGTTTGTAGAACATTGTGTTCCTAATTACAGTACATAACATTAAAATAGCACTCAAAAGTACATGTAAACAGATCTACATATTAAACTGTTTAAACACCTATAGAAAGAACAAAGTAATTGAGTTGATACTTTTTATGAGGTATCAACATCAACATAAAGGTTTAGGAAGTTTCTGTGTTACATGTAACTCATACAATTGGAAAATAAAGTATTATTCATTGGTGAAGTGACAAGATTGTGAGGAATTAACATGAGAATGTTATAATTTAAACTGAAATGGTACTTAGAGGTGAGGGTATTATAAGAGTTTGCTTCTCCCCACTCTACTTTTCAGAATTCTGGAGTTTTACTGTTGCTTCCTCATTCATGCTGTTATGTGAATTGAATTATCTTGATTTTTCCAAACCTTTCCGTTCATCTATATAAATCTATATAAAGGATTTTTTGGTTAAGAGGGTCCTTTTGTTTCGTTCCAGAGATGGAGTCCCGCCCTACAGATACAGAAAGCAACACCGGCGGGAGATGCAAGATAGCGTCAAAGCCAATGGTCGTGTGCCACTACCTCATATCCCAGTAAGCTATTTCTGCCCGATTTCTCCTCGTTTGCTATTTAACTGCATGTCCTGGCTCACCCACTGTTCACCATGTGCATATTTAAGCCGTGTCGTGTCATTGCTTCTGTGATGGAGTATAAGAATAGGCTTGTCTAAATGCAGCCTGATGCATGGCTATAAGCTCAGTGTGCCGGAGCCCTCCCCAGTGACAGCCTCCCACTGCAGCTCAGCCCTGTCTCGCGGTGAGAAAACCCCAGTCCTAATTAGGCCTCCAAGTAAAAAGTCAAATTAAAAAATTCACATGAGCACCACATAGAATGCACTGGCGTGCTGTACTGTATGGTGAAGTCCCACAGGTGTATGAATGCATAAGCATCAAATTAATCATGTCTTGTTGGTAGGACTGACAGGGCTTCAAGGTCGCTATTTTTAGACAGTAGCAATTGATTCTAGTTCCATATTTAGTTATCACATATGCACACAGTTGTAGTGACATATTTCTGATCATTAATTCACATAAATTATTATTATTATTGTGTAAAAAATGAAATGTTTTTAGATATGGCTTTTGTAAGATTTGCGTATCATATTTCAGTCTTAAATCTTATTATGTATGACTGGTTCTCAAAGTGGGGGGCAAGACTCTCAGGGGAGCTGGCAGACACAAAGCTTGGGGTGGATTTTAAACACAATTCTTCCCTCGTTATTTGACATACATCACAGCTGTTTAAGTGAAATTAGGTCAAATAGACACAATGTGTGACTCAAAAACACACCACTTACAGTAAGTATACTTAGCATGTTTTAATTCTTACATGTTTACATATTTTTAATGTATTCAGCCTTTGGGATATGATTTTCTTTGTATTTTGGGGTGTGAACTTTGAAGCAGATCCATCTTTCATACTTTAATGTAATCAAAATACTGTAATTGGTTGCCTTAGTACGTTTCCCACTGCTTCATTAGTATTGAAGGATGGGTCAAATGCAAAAGACCGATTACACGTCAACCTATTTAAGAAAATAAAACAATAAATCAGGATTAAATTGGATGGTCATGAATGAACCAGACAGAGAGTTGAGATTGAGTTGAAATGTCTTACATTTAGGGCTTTGTGGTGCGTTTAAATTGACCAAAACTCTTCACTGGTTGACTTTAACTGGATCAATTCTGGTTCACTTGGAGCAAAAATGTTTTATTGTGGATATAAAACCACTCAAAACAGGACTAAACAAGAGCAAGTGTAAATGCACCTTAATCATGTGAATCATTTATTTTATCCAGCACTCCGTCACCAACCTTCATTTGTATTCCGGAGACAAATCTAGGAGCAGGCTTATTTAAATTCATTAAATTCACTCATGTTTTATTCCCTACATATAATCACTGGGGGCCCAGGTCAAAAGGTGTCAGAACACAAAAACACAAGACGTTTACTGAGTGACTTTTCCACATGTTTTACTTTAGCGCCCAAATCGGATTCTTAAGGATATCCACGTGGATCCGGAGCGGTTTGCTGCAGAGCTCATCAGCAGACTGGAGGGAGTTCTGAAGGAGCGCGAGGCAGAGGAGAAGTTGGACGAGTGGCTCCAGAGAGTTGGATTGGTATGTTCAGTGTATGCACACGCACGTGGGGCTTAGTGGTTTGAATGTGGGGTCATGCGCATTTAAATGAGCCTTTGCAGGTTTAATACAGGGCTGATTGTACTGTGTAACATCACTATTAGCTGGGTGAAAAGGTTAGAACCATTGGAGAGAATTGTTGCTCTTATAAGAAATTTAAAAATACTTTGTGAGAATTATGTGGGTGAGCGACACACTGGATGAGAAATTACAAGTTGGAAAATGCTGTGTCCTGGGCATTGTTTTGTGCAATATTGTCTGGAGCAAGGAAATTTGTTTAATATATGTGTTCCTGTGACAAAAAATTGTCAAATAATCAGTTTGACAACTGATTTGAATGATTGAATCTTGAGGGTTGTGAGCACTGAGGTTATGATTGGGTTTAAACTTGGGCTGTAATTAAGGAGGCCATATTTGATATTTAACATTTTAATTACTCTTGTGTTCATGTGAAAAGGTAAACAGGGCTGAAATGAAAAAACAATCTTCATGTGTCCCCAGATAATAGGTCACAGGCAGTGAGACTATTGGTTACATCAACTAAAAACTGGTCAAATATAACTCAATTTTGGCCCATTGGATTATAATTATTTATTACATCATTAAAAGATTTAAGAAATGGACAAAGGGAAAGAAGATTGATGGATGACTTTATTAACCCAGTAAGAGCACAAACTACATGCGGCCCCTTTAACAGCTGTTTTGGAAATAAATTGATTTTTAAAACAATTTTTTTTTAACACGAAAAAACACGACACGACAAAGAGATGGCAATTCTCCTTGAGGATATCACTGAAAGTCTCTGTGCCAGTACAAGCATCATATAATCATCTTTCATTCTTTTTTTTTTTTCCAATCAATCTCTCAAAAGAAACTATTATCAAAACAGAGGGTGGGGAGACAATGTGGCTCTTATCACTCCTATCATGAAAGTAGACCCTGTTTTAAGTGGTCATGTAAGTGGTACAAATTCCCCAAAATGAGGGACATTTTACAGTAACACAGAGATTTTGTGGAGCAGTTTTTGAACTAAAATAGGGCTGTGTTTTTGGCTGTCGGGCTGAAAGTTCCCCCGAACAAAGAATACTTGAAATCATTTGGCCTGTGTGAAAATAATGAGGCCAGCCTTTAAGTGTGTGATTAAAAACAGGAATGACTTGGCCTGTGTGCGATCTGGCTTTGTCCATAAATCAGATGGCGCACCTGCTCGCTCTCCACTCTGAGGCTCGATCAGTAGGCTGCCCGGCTTGATGTCCCTTTAGCGGTGATTAAAAGCTTTCTGAAATATCCCTCAGCTCTGCGGGCCAAGTCTGTGGTCCCAGAGCAGACAATCCGTGTGTTCGTCCACATAAAGAGACTGCAGGTCCCTTTTAACCTGGAGGAAAAGAGCTCATTCAAATGTAAGATGTTGCATTTTGGTTTTCTTTAATATCTGCACTCATATTGCATCTGAATTTCAATTGACTTCATCCATAGAAACAAGGAACACCAAATATTCTTACGAGTTAATGCTTAAATATGTGGTAAAGTATAAGGTTTCTAGAATGTTATGACCCAAAAACCCTCCCAAATCAAATGATTTGATTTATTTATTTGCACAAATAAATACAAAGATTTTTAAAATATGCATTTTCAAAAAATAACTTTGCACTGAGAAGACCAAGTGGTCTTATAGGACCACCTCCCCCAAAATCACATTCATTACAGGCAAGGCATAAACGGGCAAGACAACAATTAAATTTTTCCTGTATATAATTCAATATTAACATTTTTTAACTGACTAATAGAATAGTCAATTTTGGACATAGTCCTTAGAGCAGGAGCTAAATGGTTCCAGAGTGAAGGGCCTCTATATTTAAGTGTTTATTGATTGGCCGTAGTTCTACAAATAATCATTATCAATCAAGATGATAGGCTTCTAAATTGGTGATAGTAATTGAGCCTGGGCTTGAACTTTTATGTTTCTTTTTGAGTGGTGATAAACTGGTATCGATAGGAAAAGGTCATTTGTTTATCTTTGCTAAGAAGACCATAACGTTTTTATGAAATTAATTAATTTTACAGCAAAATGTCAAACTCTCTAAATATGTCTGACACTCGGTATAAGCCGGTCAATATAATTAGTATATCAATTTCAATAATTGATGGATTTATCTTCTGTACATTTTCTTTGCAATATTGAAGAGATTTTTGCCATTTTCACAGTGACGTTTTAATTGGATAGGGTTCAATATTTGAAACAATATATTGTTAATTAAAATGAATGAATGCGACAGGTCTATTATCATGTACATACTCAAGTAGTAGTTGTTTTGGTGGTCACGAGACATCCCCGTATGAAACCAGATATAGGACTATTAAGTCTATAATATTACATCTTGTTAAACTAGTGGAAAAACCTGCTGTGGTGATCTGCTTTCCACCTAAAAAGTAAGCCATTGTTTTTATTGATGGTTCTATGTCACTAAAATGCATGTACTTCTTGTTAACATAATCAGCATGGTGTCTACAATAGTCCAGTTTCTGAGCACATCCAAATCATGCTGCTTTTCTACCAAAACGCTGAGGCATTGACATGTTGCAATTGCTGTCACATTAGGGTTCCATTGTTTGCCTGGATTAAATCTAAGTGCATAATGGAACCTTGTGACAATGCAAACATATGCACCATTGTGACTGGGAGATGCTGGCTGTTGTGGGAAAGAGGTTTTATTTAAATGGGTAAGTGCCTCAATTTGCCATTTTGTGGAGCGAGACGCACTGTATCTGTATGCTTATAAATTCAGGGAAATACTCCTGCTTTTGCAAATTTGTGTTCCCACATCACACTGCAATAAATTATTAATGTCTTGTATTTTAAAGCCACTGAGAATGTGCTGGCAGAATCTGCAGATAGTAACAATGTGAATGATTGAGAAACAACTAAAACAAAAATCACAATTAGCAACAACAACAAAATCTGATTGTATTGGTGCAGTGCTCAGCAAGTGCTCCAAAAGTGTCATGGTGTGGATTTTATTAGTTTTACTTTTATTTTGACTTCAGTTCTCTGTGGTTTTTAGTTTAGTTTTACTTCCAGTCATGCCCCCCTGTTTGTCTGCCCCTTATGTGTTTCACTGTGTCTCTTTATGTCTATATGTGCCCTGTGCTCATTCCCATTTGTTGCTGGTCCATTGCATGAATCTTTAATAATATCGGCCCATCGTCTGTTTTCCTGGTTCCTGTGTTTCGTTTGTATTTTTCAGTTTATATATTATGGGTCCTGCTTTGTTTTTCACCACGTGACAAATTGCTGTGTATTCTTTTGGCTTTCATTTATCTGTACATATTTTTTCAAGTGTGGAATTATTTTTTATTTTGATAATACGTTTAGTGCTGGATGTACCACAGCTCAGGCATTTAATGATACTGTGTGCATTTAAAACAATGTATTGGATTACACAGCTGTAATCCAATACAGCTGAACTACAGTATGATAGTCTGTTGTAGCCTGGTGAACAACAGACTATCGGTAAATGCACACATAAACATACTCCAATGCGTTTTGTGGAATGGTAATTATGTACACCAGCTTTAAACAAGGTAGTTCAAACTTTTGGTTTATTGCAACAAATCTCTGTCATCATTTACAGTGTTGTTCTTTGAAATGTCATACAGTGACCTATTTCCTCATAGTTTCAATATTTCTCTTTCAGTTTGGGTATTTGACTTTTAAAAATCACACTCTAAACCACCAGTTGTCACAAACAAAGGAACATTATTCTTTTGATCTTCTCTTCCTTATCTTGGCTCTGCGCTTTGCCTCGTAGGGAAGTTGAACCCTGGAGCAAATAAAACATCTCCGCAGCAGGATCAGGCTTTGTGTTTGTGTGAAGAAACTGCCATGTCACATAAGCACATCTTCAACACCTCGCTCAACCATTCCCCCTGAAGAGTCTCCTGTCAGAAAAAAGATTGATTTTTCACTCATTTTGAAGTTTAACTCGTCAATATTAGAAGAAACATACATTTATGCATGCACGCAATCCCCATCAGAATTGTATCCGCAAACCTCTGCAGTGAGATTTAAGACAGGGCCAACATTTACAACGCAAGATCAAGTGGCATGCAGAGAGAATGATATGCGCCCTCTGCTGGGCAAAGGAGGATACGCTTCTTCAACAGCATGGGGACATAAAGACAATATATTTATATGTAGGCCTAAATTATAGACAGTTTATAAAAGGACCATAAATGCTTTTGTTTTGATTCAACAAGAAAATATCCAAAGATACAATAGCTGCAAAGAAAAAAAAACATGATACATATACATATAAACTATTAACTATATAAGATGAAATATTCCACAGATAATATGTGTATGTATGTGTGGTTTGAACTTAATTTTTCCATAGAATCATGCAGAAATTTACAATAAATATTACATGTTTAACACGGTTTATTTAAAGGTTCTTACCAAACAAACAATTTCATCTCATCTCCCTTATAGTTATGTTTTAGTATTTTCCTATCCTATTTTTTTAATATATGTATTTGTATGTTTTTCTTTTGAAGGAGGAAGATGGAGATGAAGCGAACACTAGTACATCCATACCTGGTTATAGGCCTCCCCCTGGTGGTCACTTCCATAGCTACAACTCCCACTATACAGACATCTACAGTGGAGCTTTCCTGAGAGACGCTCACGAGGAGAACCCAGAGTCAATCCTGGACGACCACGTGCAGCGTGTCATGAAGAGCCCTGGAGGACAGTCTCCAGGCACCAGGCACTCACCCAAATCCCTCTCCCCAGACGGCCTCCCCTCTTTGGGCAGACACACCTTACCTGGGTGCTCTGTACAGGTGAGCAGGTTTTTTATTGTCAGTGCATGGTTTAACACGGGTTAATTTGGATGAATTTGAGTATTTTTTTTAATAACTTTGTTAGTGTATCATAACCTTTACCTGCACTGAAGAGTACAGACTGAAATTGTAAGGATGTGTGAATGGGTAAAATTTTTAGAAATGGGTTTAGAATTCTATAAAGGTATAAAATGTGACATTATTTTACATGAATTGTTTTTGGGGTCCTGCCTATAAGCAAATGCAGCTTTCTGGGAGGTCCCTTTTACAAAACACCTGCAAACTTTACAAATAGAATGTGTATAACTTGTAGGAAGTTTTATAAATTAAGAGAATTTTATTTAATTTAGGAGCCAAGACACTCTTTATACATAACCCTGACTTCCCACTAACCTTCACATATTATATTTAATTTATTGGTTTTACTGATTTTATTCCTCTATCTTTTATAACGTTCTCGGGCACCACCTTTTGTTTGTTTCTCATTAAATAAAATTTTTATAAAAAAGAGAGAACATTCTAGAATGGTGAATGTTAGTTGACATTGTTGATGGATGTGTCTTGTCTTGTATATGTGTGTAATGTAGTGGGACCTCATTTGACTGGTGGTCCTCAATGATAGAAAAGGTTTAAAGTGTAGTATCTGGGCTGTGCTTGTATAATCAGGATGACGAAGGTTCAGCTTTTGTCCACAATTCATTCTCAGTGGCGCAGAGATTCCAGCTGTTCAGTCCATTTCAACACAAGTGAAAATGGCTTTCGGATAGAAAATGTCTTGATTGCAAAAACAGTGTCCAGATGACTTTCTGTGTGTTTTCCATTTTTGTCAGAGAGTGAATTGTGAATCGTTCTTATTGTTGAGTGCGGATTATTGCATTGTATAATCTGTTCTGGAAAGTTCAGGACTGCAGAGGTTGATTACTGTTTTTTCAGCTATCTAGTGGAAAAACATCTCATTATTAACAATTCTTACTCAAAGCTGTGGTTAATCCTAGCCCTCAAAACTGTTTGTCTGTATCTATCATCTGTATCTAGTTTTTACATGCTTGTACTTTTGGCCGCAGCTGTCACATTTTTAGATATTTTTGGTTTTCAATGAAAAAGACAGTACCAGCCCTCAATCAGTCAATCAGCTCTCAGTCGGTAAAGGATGCGGTCCTTTCCAATCAGAGGAAGACAGTATGTTGTGGTCTGATTTTTTTTCATAAAATATTATTTAAACAATAATTCTTTTGATGGGACAATGATGTATTTATGAAACAAAAAGATACTTCAACCTGTTGAAAGAAGAACAACAAATTACACTCTAGAAAACATTCAAAAGGTTTTTGCAAACGTTTTGTTATTTTTATACTTGCACATGTTTAATGCAAGTAACATTCACCAATTGTCCAAATTCAAACATTTGATCTATAACATCTTTGTGCAGGGTAAACATCCACAGAGGCACACAGGGAAGCACCACCTCCATCACGGCTCCAGCGGGAAGCCTCGGGAGCAGCTGGAGACGGAAGCGGCCATGCGAGCACACGTCCACTCGGGTGTGGACGCACAGTATGGATCCAAGCCCCGCAGCTACGCAGACAGCACTCACCAGGAGAATGCAGGCTATGGGTAAGGGCCAAACAGATCCAAAACAATAGACTTATATGAAGCGCTATATAAAACCGATGCATTATTACTTATGTAATCCAGTCTTAACAAGAAATAAGATGGATTTGGACATTATATACTATACAGAGTGGCTTGCAAAAATACTGATACAATGTCAACTTTTGTCGTGATTACGTTTCCCAGAAAATAAATGTATTTATTGGTAATTTCTGAAAGACCACAACAAAGTAACAACTGTGAATTGAAAACAAAATAATATATTGTTTATTTATTTTGATATTTATGTTTTTTGATATTTTGATAGATTACTCACAGATGGGTTCTAATAATAATAACAATATAATAAATAGACTTGTAAACATGACAAAATGTGCACCAAAAATTGTAGTACTTTTGCATGCCACTGTAGTTGGCAGATCTGAAATATAGTGATTGTCTTGTTCTACATTGCTAATAGCTTTCTATGACTTTTCTCACGTTAGCAGAGGAGGCTCATGTAAAAGAGGTTGCAAGAAAAGTGAGGAATTGCGTCCGTACGACGCTCCTGGCTTTGGAGTAGACATGGAGAAGAACCAGAAGATCCTGCTGTGGTTAATGGACGGACAGAAAGAAGTTCGGCACAAGAGGAGTCCGTATGGGTGAGTCAACATCGTCCTGGAATTACATTTAATTTTTTTGGGGCTGATGCTATGTGTACTGGGTGCAGCTCTGACTGCCAGCTCCCCCAACCCAGAAACGGATTAAGCGGAAGAAAATGGATGGATGGATGGATGGATGATTTAATTTTATCAGATTAATTGGCTTTGGCTTTAGCGCTCTAAAAGGATGGTTAGGAAGAAAATTGTTAGTATAACATTACAGATAATATGATTGTGCCAGTGAACAAACAAGATTTGTTTTTGAGGTCAAAAGAATAGAGATCTTTACAAGGAGTGTGGCTTTCTATAATTACAATGTAATTACAAAGCGCTTTTCAGTTACCGTGACATTTTAAAACTATTGCCATTTTCGATCGCTGCAAATTGTTCCGAGAGCTTTAATCTCTTTAACTTTGATTTACTGTCGTTGAAATATATGTTGTTGTCTGTCTGGTTAGCTTCTGCTTATCCCTCTTTGGCATTTTCTAATCTAATCAATATCATGCTGATACTTTGCAGATGAAATATGATTGTACAAATCTTCACTATTGATTCTTCAGTATTATGATTCCAGACTTGTCCTGAAGCAGCTCAATGAAATTCCAGGATTCACTGTTTTATTTCTGAATGTAAATCGTATAAAATCCAAGACACTTTTTTAACAAGCTGATTCTAATTCATGCTGCTGAATTGAGTTAATATTTCAACATTGGCAAATATTAAAAAAGTATAAAATATTCCAATAGCTGTTGTGGAGATGTGCAGTTGAATTAAACAGAACTGACTGATAGAAAAATCAGCATAATTATAAATGACTTTCACACTTTCACAAAATATTGTTTGGTTAATCCATAATAACATACAGTATATTTAGGTATTCCTTTTTGTCAATATACCGTCGGCTCTCACCCCTGCAGCTCATACACATAGTGACAATATAACATGAGACTTATTGTCTTAACATCTTAAAAGTTGATAGTTCTGTCTAAATACCAACTGATTTATTGGTTTGGCATTCTTTAAGTTAAGAACAGAGATTTCACAGATTCTTGCTGTTTTTGTTTAATCCAAGCATCCATTATTCTTGAAAAGAATATATATATATATATATATATATTTATATATATATATATATATACGCACACACCCACACACACACACACACACACACACACACACACACACACACACACACACATATTATTTTAAAGGTAAGCCCCCTAAGGATTAAGAAGCTAGTGAGAACCTAGTCTATCATTCAGGTAACTTCAGCTCCACCAGATGTAAATCAATATGTACATGTCATACCTCACTTTTAAAGCTCTGTGAACAGCTATATCTGTATACAATATCTGGTTGATATTCAGCAGAATCTGTCAAAATCAGTGTTTGTCCTACATAATCCAAATTGGTTGGCCGCTAGTTCCGTCCACTGGGAGACTAGATTACATAAACTGACTTTTAAAATAAGATTAACGTTATTGTCTGTCTTAGTTGACTTTCTCCTTTGATTCATTGTTGTTGATCATGTGACAGGAGTATGACCGGCTACAAAAAGACCACAGGACACGAGGGACTACATCAGAGCTCAAAGGACCGCATCCAGCCATCTCACCCGTTCATCCAGGACCCCACCATGCCCCCCAACCCTGCCCCCAACCCCCTCACTCAGCTGGAGGAGGTGTGCCGGCGCCTGGAGGAGGAGAACATCAAGTCTGGAGCAGTGCAGCCCAAGCAGAGGTCAACTTTTACTTTTAATATGTGGTTCTGGACCTGAGTGTCTGATATATTTTTCAGTCAATATTTTATTACATGTGCATGTTGTATTTTTTCTGGTAGAGGGTTCACCAAGTGCTTATCAGGCTAGATGCATTCTAGGTCAATGGTGCTCATAATATAGAAATAGTCAAGCCCCAGAATGTCATGTTCTTGAACGAATGCATAAAAACATATAATTGTATTATTTTCTTGTTTATCTGCTGATGAATTCTAATTTTACTTTAGTTTCCAAAGTTCTGTACAGGAGTAAGCAGTAAAATCAAAATAATAGATCAACAGTCAACCCAAATAAAAAGGCACACATTGACTTCAAACAAGGTAACAGGTAAAATCATGTGAGAGCAGAAAAAAAAACACATAGGATTAATCATAAAGAAGATTAATAAAAGTGCGCAACAACACAACTCAGTGTTAATTATTGTTTTTTTGCTTCAGGTATGTGATGGAGGTGATCCAGAGGGGGCGCTCTGCAGTCCGGCCGACACAGTGTCCTCCTGTGAATGTGGTTCCAGCCGTTTCAGACAGCGAGCTTTCTGAACCTGAGTGAGTCCACTGCATTCGCCTGCTGATGGAAATTACAGTATAATATTATTAATGTTACATATTAAATTTAGGTACAATGTTCAAATCATAAACACAAAGCCCTCTAGAGCTGTCAGACTTAAGTCGTTTAGATTTAATTGAATGATGTTGTATTACCCAACTTTATGTAATCATCATTTTAGATGATTACAGAGAAACAGCAGAATGATGGAGGTGGAATGAGTTTGGAGAATATTTTTCCTTCTAAAGTCAATTGAAACTGGAATTTTTTGTAACTTTCTCTTTCTTGAATAATGTATTTTCAATTCAACAGTGCACCTCATAATCCGGTGCACCTTGTAGTACAAAAAATACAGTATTGGCAATAATAATTAATGAATAATTAATTGCAATGTATATATAAATGTACTATCAACTTAGTGCATATCTCAAACAGATTTCTATATAAATAGCTGAATTCAGTTGATCTCCCCCCAGTAATTGATCAGCTATGGAATTTAGACCAAAACATTTGCATCACTTAGATAGACCTACATATCCATCATATTTGTTTTTCTTACCTGTGAGAAAAGACAGGATGTTTTCTTGATTCCAGAAAAGTAGCGTCTTGGGAATCAGAGGCACAAAGAATATGGACACATCATTGAGCACATAAACCATCCCAGACGCAGCACCATTCTGAATACTTCCAGTACTGAGCCCAGAGCTCCAGCAAAAAAGACAAAGCTTATCACATATTTACATACCCACAGGCTATTAGCACACAAACAATGACGCAGAGACAGTTATCTAATCATGAAATGATCATGTGGATATTGTATCTTAACGTTTATTTTTTATTCATTGCAATAGATTGGGCACTTATAATGAATATGTGTTTATTGGGAGATCTGTCACCCAAGGCCATGAGCTCATTTTGGTCTGACACGATCATTTGCTTTGACCCTGTTTATCAGCAGATTCTTCAAACATGCCTAACAGGGACATTGGGTGATGAATAGCCACAATCCTACCTTCTCTACCTGCTTTGTAATGTAGAGTCTATTGCCGTGTCCAACAATAGACTCTACACCAGTGGGGAAGGGTCCCAGCTCAAAAGTGGCCAAAATGACGTGCGCTGACATGCTGCAATACCACCCCGGGCCGATGGGGGTGGACCGAGAAGTAGAATTAGCCAATGCTAACATAGCATTGGCAGACCTCTCAAAAACCTCTTTACAGGATGGACCAAAAGTTGGCTCTTGGCCCAAAGCTCCGTTCCACATGTGTGTCAATGCTGAGGGGGGTGAATTTTTTTGGACCACTCAAGTTTACTTGCTGTGAATTTTTGAAGTTTCTCGTTCAAATTAATGGAGTTGCGCCGGCTGACGCATGCGCAGATGCGTTTTTTCACAATTTTCTTGTGGGCGGGACCACTCACGGCCATTTTGGATTGCTCCAGTAGAGCACATTTTTTGGCCCATTAGTTAGAACGGCGGGGATAGGCGTGACTCTGTCCGTTAATATATACAGTCTATGCTCTACACAGGTCCTGAGAAAGGAGCATTACACCTATTTATATTCCTGTTATACCTCGCTCAGAATTTGTTTGTCTATACAGAATATCTTTTTGTGGCTGAAAATTCTGTTTATGGCACTAAGAAGCTGGCGAGAAACTAAACATTTGACATTCAGCCAACTTCAAACTTCAAACGTGAATCAATATGCATGCCGTGCCTTATTTTAAAGAACAGTCTGAGTCCAGTCAAAAAGTGCAACTTTGGGTTGGGCTTGTTTTTGGCCTAATTGATGTAATGGATGTCTGTTTGTACTTTTTTCCATGCAAAACATCTTTTTCTATTTGTACACAAACATCTTGCAATTTACAAGAACATGGAACACAATATTCCCTAGAATGTTTTTAGCAATGTCAGAATATATGTATTTTTTTGTTAAAGGCAGTGTTTGTCTGATGTTGTTATTAGGCCTCTGGGTCTTCAGTCAATAACAATAGTTCAGGTTAAGGGGTTGATTAAAGCTTACAGTGATTATAGCTTTGAAAACCTTTAATGACCTTTAATGCTTAGTTTCAGTAGAAATAATGGCAGCAAGTAATTACAGCCTCTTGTCATTTTGAGGTTAAATAATGAGATACTCAATTAATTAATGTGAAACTAGAAACATGAAGCTGTGGAATTGTTGTGAACTAAAACTACAAATGTTTTTAGAAATGTAGTTAATATAGTTTGTATATATTTGTAGTTTCAAGCATTTACATCTTTTCTAATGTTATGAATCTCATCTCAAAAAGGTTCAAATGACGTGACAGAGTAAGGAAAGATTTCACATTTGTGTTTATCGCTACAGATACATGAACACAGACAAACAGGAATGGCTCTTTTTTTCTCTTTCTAACAGCTTTAGCCCTTCCTGCAGAAAAGGCTTTTGCACGTCCTTTAAAAGGTTTCTGCAGCTATAAATCCTGCTGGATCTACGCTCTCAAGTCAGGGATGGTTTTACAGTAGGGCTTGGTGATACTGACAAAAATATATTCTCAATTTGTCAATATCTTTGATGGATTTTGGTATTCTATGTCTAGCAATCCATCAGTCATGTATTAATTTTCAGCTAAAATATATAGCCAATTAAATATCACTTTGTGTCTGTTTTTTTATATATACACATTCCTTTCATTTTAAAATCAAAATCATCATAGTGTTTTGAATTTTGAAATGACAAAATATAATTATATACTTAACAAAAAATCTTATATCATTTAGCTATTAATATATGTATTGATGGCTTGTCTCCCAAAACATGTGCAAGATTATCAGTATTTCTCTCCATCCTGTCCAAGAAACGCTTTTCCAGATGAACGTGTACAGTATATGTAATGTATGTGGCACACCGCGCTGAAAGCTAATGACTTGCAGTGTTGACCTTGTGATAAATGCTGACCATCTGCCGTGTTCTAAATGGGCTGCCCTCCAGTTATTGAGTTCCTTGTTACACGGTTTGTTTGTTCAAAAAGTAATACAAGCAAACTGTTGGGACTGTTGAGATAAGTTGATGACTAAGGATATATAGATTTCATGCGGCAATTCAGGGGTCCCATATTTTGGCTGTATGTGTTTGTTATTTAAATTATATAAACTATTAAAGCTTTAACTTTGGTGAAAAACAAAAATGATCACAGCTGTATATTTTAGATTTTTAAACACAATCCTAATTATAGTTTTTCTTTACCATGTCAGATTAAATAAAAGTCCTAATTAATCTATTTTTTGTTGTATGTACGGTATGTTTTGGCTGGAAAGGAATTGGCTTCCTCAACTTGACAGGGTTAAGTGAAAACAAAGGCTTATTGTTAGTTAAATTAAATCCAACACTTGCATTTTATATTTTCAGAGCAGACGATGAAATACTCAACTGTCTTTTGCTTCAATGAACATTATTTTTAATTTATTCCCACTTGTATACTGACACTCATGTTTGATGCACTGCTGTTTTTCCCACAGACATGAAGGCGGCAAGAAGCAGCCGTATGAAAAGATGACCGTAGCGTATTATCTGTGCGAGGAGCCGATCCCCTACACCACGAGCGTGGAGCGCGGCCGCGTGGTGACGCTGGGGCAGTTCAAAGAGCTGCTCACTAAGAAGGGAAACTACAGGTCAGTCTTTAGTTACTATCGAGCAATTTATTTGTAGCACGCCTTTCCTACAAAGCGTTTCACAGTCTATTTTACACAAGGCACAAATCATCACATAAAGCAAACGCCAAAATCACCAGTGAAAAAACAATGAAAATCACGCAGTTAATTAAAAAGTTGCATGTAAGTAATATCTTTCACAGACCAGTCACAAAGCAGTTTACAATTGTGTCCACACAGAGATGGGAGCGGGGTCGCCAGTACAGGAGGTGCATGCCAGACCTATTGTTCATGGTTTTAATGGTAGGGGACACCAGAGTACCCGAAGGAAACCTACGCAATCACGGGGAGAATATGCAAACTCCACTCAGAAAGGCCCTGTTCCGACCGGGATTTGAACCTTCTTGCTGAGAAACAAGAGTGCTATCCTCTCAGCCACCGTGAACATAGAAACATTAAAATCACACAAGGGATTAAAATAATAAGTAACCACAGTGCATTAAAAATAGAGACACAATCCTTCAGCTGAATGCACAGGAACCTTCTTCAATCTGGATTTGAACATTGTCAGAGTAGACGCCTCTCTCACATTTTCAGGGAGACTGTTCCAGATTTGAGCTGCATAAATCTGAAAAGCTCCCTCCCCATGTCTAGTCCTGACTCTGGGCCTGACTTTCACACCAAAGCAACAGCCAATGCACTTAATCAAGTTAAAACAAAAACAATGGAATATGTTATGGTGAGGAGGTCTCCATAGAATGTTCCACTGTGTGCCTTTTAACCTTGCATTTTGAATTTATGCTCAAAAAGGACGACAGTGGCTCAGTTGGTAGAGCATTGGAAGTATTTTTTTTTACTGTGAGAAGGACCACCACTTCACTGGCAGAAATGTAACTTGGCAATATAAGATACTCAGACCTTTCAATGAGATTAATTTCGATACAAAACATTTCCAAGCGACATCCATTATTGTTGAATTTTGACTGTTGAAAAATGTTCTCAGCCTTTTAGCTTCTGTCTTCATTTTATTTGTCTCTTGCTATTACAATATATCGAACAATAATAAATACATAGTAGCGTTTTTATAGCGGCTTTATTTGATTAGACAATACTTTTAATCCTTTAATATTCTTTTTGCATATTTTGTTACAGGTATTATTTCAAGAAGGTCAGTGACGAGTTTGACTGTGGAGTGGTGTTCGAAGAGGTGCGTGAAGATGATGCGATTTTGCCCATTTTTGAAGAAAAGATCATTGGGAAAGTGGAGAAGATTTACTCCAGTGCAAGTTGATAAGAGGATTGTGCGCTGAGCTGAGTGGAGGAGGACGTGCTGAGAGGAAGGCTTTTGCAGGTGAATGACGTTGCGCTCCAAACAGCATCAAAAGACTGGACTTTTTATCGAAATAATTATACATTTTAGTAGTCAAACTAAAAGAGCTACATATTTTTATATGAAGCAGGTGGTTTCTAAGAATCTCTTTGTATGTGCATTGTTACCAGATGTGTACAGCTTGTGTTAAAATAAGCACATTTTATATCTATTTAAGTAATTTTATGTTTTCTGTTCTTTTTTTATTTTTTTTATTATTATTATTTTAATTTCAAGCAGGATTGCTGCTCTTGCTGAATATGATATTTAGGGCTGTTTATGTCTCTAGTGTCCTAAATATTGGTCCAAACAGCCTCCTGAACTGTAGCTTTGAAAAGTACTCTATTTGGCCAACTGCACTTAATGTGATGTCACAGACCACTTTGTTTTGTGTTGTTTTGTTCAACCGTCTAAAATATGTATTAAATAAGTTATCCATATTACAAACAAAACACCATGGGGGCCGATAAAGCATGAACGTGCATACGATGGGATTTTATGATTTCTAAATTGAATCTATTTTGGTAGAACAAGACTCCTGTTTAAAATATATATTACAGTTTACACCGATAAAGTCCAAGTTTGTGAAGAGAAATGTGAAAGTTTGTTGAAATAATTCTGTGTTGGTGAATTCAACAGTTGTGTAAAGTCCTCTGATATAACTACTGTTGTTCTAGAACTGATGAAACGAGGGATTGATGGAACTAATCCTAAAGTTTGGCACAATTTACAGTGTACGCGTTTCATCATTCATGTTCCAGCTTCTTGTTAAGTAGCTTCCCCAGAAGGACATAATCAATTATTATCAACCAGCAAAATTAGAGATATTCAAACATTTGCTGAACATTTTAGAAATATGTTGCAAAATCTCAATGGATGTGATCTGCATTTTGTAACCTGTCACACATTCACATTTAGCTGCACTTGCTTCCATCTGTCAAAAGAGGGCGCTGCATTAAACATAGTGGACTGCAGTGCTGTTTGAACAAAAAGCGAGACATCTTTTCATTTAGATGAGATTATCCCTACTTACTCAATCCACTATATCTTCATAATGCTAAAAGGTATCAGCATCAGCAATAAAACATATCAATCTATTGTTAAGTGACTTCTCTTCACTTACTAATTGGTTTATTTAAAAAATCTTCTGGTCTTTCCCTCCTCAAACACTGTGACTGTAACTACTACTTTTATCCTTGAATTTGCTACTGTGATCACAGGTATTATTTGAAATGTGTGTACAATGTAAATTTGACTTTTGTTTAATGTTTTGCCTTTAGAAGTAGGTCACACTGAAAATCCATTGAGCTAATACTTGAAGAAAAGTGCTTCGCATCCGTGAGATGTACTGAGGGCTTTACAGAAACGTGACAATCATGTTTACAGTTCGTTTGAGGTTTTACCTGGCTTTTAAAGGAGACACATTTTGCAATTGACCTTTCCGGATTTTTTATGTTGCAACATTGTTTTATCGTCAAAAAAACAGACCCGGAGTCTGTCTAAAAGCTCCTGTTTCAGTCCTGTAATAGTATGATGTATTAGTACCATTATGACATCACACTAGAAGCCATTTTGTTCCCTTTTAAAACAAAAGCAGTGCCCACAGATTAGTTTTGGCAATTTGGATTAGTTTGGAATAACAAAAACAAGTTCTACACCTCCCTCTGGTGGTGGTATAAGGTGTAACAGGCAGAAAACTTTGTAAACTCTTCATCCTTGTTTCATCATATTATTTCTACTTCAATCAAATCAATCAATCAAATGTTATTTATAAAGCGCTTTTCATACATAAGATGCAACACAAAGTGCTTTACAGATTGGTTAAAAACAATCCCGCCGACCCAAGACCCCTCCCCCAGACCACCCAACAGACCCCCCCCAAACCACAGACAAACACACACACACGCGCTCATGAACACTCATACACACACACACACACACACACACACACACCAGTAAAACAATAAAAACATGATGAGAGACTTGGCAGGGTTCAGATGCAACCAACTTACAATATTATTTTGCATTCTAAAACATGAGATGACACGTAAATAGTCTCCTTTTTATATTTTCTTATATAATTTTTGTTGGCCATAATAATGCATAGTACGTCTTCTTTAATGGTCTAATGTCCAGTTTGAGGACACTAAACAGCAGTGTCTCTGTCGCCTCCACGGATTCCGATGAGTCAAGGAGTCTGTGCTGAGCAAATCACCAGATACACTCATAAGTCTCTGATAAACAAAATGATTGTGGCCAAACTGAACATATTGAGTCCTGTTGTTCTGAATGCAGGACCCTGAGTCAGAGATGATGGGTCCATAGAACATGAGTCTATTGTTAAATGCTGCGAACGGCTGAGAAGCAAGATGCCAAAACATTGGACTGAGAAAACAACAGAAGGCCGAGGGAATCTCTTTGGAATAGAAGACGGACAGAAAACTCAAACCCATCAAGTCGCCACAATTATAGATAATTCACACCAAAGACATGAACAATTACATTTACAGGAGAGTTTCAAAGCATCATTAGCATCAAGGAGCGATTGCATTTCCCCCTAACATACATTATTAAAGCAATTTCCTTTTATAACAACCCTTTTGTGAATTTTGTAAGCGATACAGGTGAATTTTACACCACGTTTTCTTTTTTGAATTGGGACAAATATAAGATTTTACTAGGACTAAATCAAAATTGCCTAATCATATGCAAAATTGTATTATTACTTTGTTTGCGCTTATTGCATAAAGTAATTCAGGTCTAGTGCATACAATGAGTGAATTTGTCAATTTATAAAATACTACGATGTTACACAAGGAAACATATTTTTTTGTTCAGATAAGTGTAAAGAAGTTGTTTTCAGCCCGTGGAGACAAATCTGTTGTCATTTCTGTGGCTCAATTTTCAGCTTGTTGCACAAATGGACCTTGGACATTCCTCTTTCTGATAGAGCACCTTCTTAAAGATGTATTTATTTATTTGCAGCAATAGTGGTTTAAGTTAATATCTATAAAATTAATATATTGTCATTTTATTTATGTTGGATTATCGTTGAAGCAAAGTTGTTAGCTTGTAAAATATGAATGTTTTGCATATTTTTTTGCTGTCGATGCCCTAATTTTGTTTCAGTGTTGTATATAAAACAAGAGTGCCTTTATTATTGTGTTCAGGACATGTTTGAACATATTAACAAAGTCTAGCCTTACATCGCTTCTCTGTTTTTCCATGTTTTGTTGAAAGCTTTTCCATGTTTTTGTATGTAAATATGTAAAACTTGAATTGTCATCAACCAGCACATTCAGAAACTGGACCTGATTCAGCCGACAGACGAGCATGGCTACCATCGAAGGGTACGGAACAATAAATACATGCAATAAACCAATCACAAGTGTGTTTATCATTATTATTAGTATTCATATTATTAAGTATTATTATTATTTTTTTCTTTACTTTTTTATTATTTTTGTGAAAGGTAGTTCAAAGTATTCCTGCATTCACGTGATTGTCAAGATGTAGTCACACACAAAAATATAATAATAATAGATGAATCAGTAAATAAATAAAAATGACAGATATGAAGAAAAAGAAAATATATATACATACCTTCACATACATACACTATATACAAATTTTAGGGATTTTTTTTCCATTTGTTTTCCAACAGGGGCTCCCATGTGTCATTGAATACATCTAATTTTCCGTTTATTTTTTTAAACATGAGCCGCTCGTAAGAGGCCGTCTCAGACAGTGTTGTGAACCACTCTGTATACGTAGGTCACGCTGGTGCCTTCCAGAACTTCAGGATAACTCTCTCTGCTGCAGTAAGAGCTGCAAATGCTAAATATTAGGTGACAGTAGCTCAGTTGGTAGAGCGTTGGCCTTTGAGCCAGAAGGTCGTGGGTTTGAAACCACCTCAAGACTTTCACCATCGACTCCTGCTGACTACTGTCGTTGTGTCCTTAGGCAAGACACTTAACCCCCATTGCCTAGCATGAGTTTGGTGTGTGTGTGAATGGTTGGTGGTCGGAGGGGCTGATGGCACATACTGGTTGCCTTGCTTCTGTCAGTGTGCCCCAGGGCAGCTGTGGCTACTGTAGTAGTTTATCACCACTGTGTTTGGAGAGAAAGAATAATGACATGTGAAGTGTCTTTGAGTGTCCAAAAAAGCACTGTATAAAACTGATGCATTATTATTCATTGTAACTTAATATTGTAACTTAATAAACTATGATACTTGATTATTAGACATAAATTCACATTTTTGTTCATTGTATCTTTTATTCCACATCTTTGTGTTTGGATATGAACCAACCAGAGGGTAGGCCAGACATGGAATAATATACATTACAGACTAAAATAATTTAAAATGAACAGCGTGAATAATGAAAGTTTTTTTGAACTTCCAGCTTAAGGGAAAGGTTATAATATTTTGTATAACAAATACATTATTTCTCTGGGTATGAGCTGTGTATGCAGGGCCCACGCTAAGCATTTTTGCTGTGAGGCAAACGTTACGTCTCTGCTGGGGCACCCTGGGGTGGAAATGTTTAGTTTGCTTCTCCAGTAAAAGGAAATACAAATGTTTGCCCTCAAACAATGACTAAACAGTCTCATTACTGATGCAGTCCATGTTCTCAGGTTCAGGTAAACCAAACCAGATTCTCTGAAAACTGGCTACTAGTTGAGGAACTGGCAACCCAAAGTCATGTGAAGCTAATTCCGCTTTCTGATTGGATAATCAGCTTGACCACTATGGACCTTGTGTCCATTATACAATTAATATTAAATCAACATTCAAAGTTTGATCAGAAAGTACCAAATATAAATAAACATCTACTAATCGTACATGCTTCCCATATTTAAGATTATCCGTAGCCTTTTATGTGTAAAAGGGCGACGGTTATGTGTAAGTGTTCAAACCA